CCACCCTCTCTGGTGACCGTTTCAGGGAACCACTGAGGCGGAGAGTTGAGCTGCTGAACACCGGGCAGCGCTCACATGAGAGAGTGGCAGACGGTAAACTTGAAAGATGTTACTGATTGGTAGTGTGAAAAATGTAGCTCATAATGTTGGACATACTGTTAGTTATTTTTGTGGGATGAGCTCTGGCTGTGTGTAAATCCTGTCTGTCTGTCCTATCTACTGTATTTATCGATCTGTCTGTCTGTGAGCTGAGAGCCCACACTCTGTCTTTTTTCTCCTCAGAAATGAATAGAGAATTAATTTATGCCAAAATGTTTTACAGACACACAAATAGACAGAAACACTTTTTTGTTAACTGTTGTTTCTTTACGTACTATTGTCACGTCTCATCTGTCTTGAATTTCTGGTAAACGAAAAATTCACACATTTGGATTTTTATTTCTTTGAAAACAAACACAAAACCCCATTCATCTATAGACACTGTAACGCAGATAGGAGCAAAAGAGGGGAAAAAATAGAAATTAAAATGACTGCTCAGACATAAATAGAAAAACTTGAAATCTTAATCACACCACAGAACCTTGCTTGAAGTTTCCTTTAACTGGAGAGATGCAAATGACAGACAGACGCATGGAGAGATGTGGTCCTGTGACCAAAGGATAGATGCACACTGTGGTCTGAAAGACGAAGACTGTGGTTCTCAGGGGCCTCATTCATTAAAATGTTGTTTGATTTTTTTTTTAAAAGATATCAATGGCCCTGTAAGGCATACGTTTTTATCTTTAAAACAGTGGTAAATTTAATTTCCAACCCTTCGTCCTGGTCAAGATCCATGTTCTTACCTGACGTGTTGGGCTTTGGTCGTAAGCACAAAATCTGCACCTGAAATTTTTTTTTTTTTAATGAATGAGGCCTTTGGCTTCATTAACTCAAAATGAATCATTTCTTTACGAACATCAGTTGCAGCCATTTTTATACAGAATTCAAAATAATTGTGTGTGTGTTTGCACGTGTGAGCCTGTGTGTGTGTGTGTGTGGTGCTGCTGTCCACTCCCAGGGTCTCCATAGCTCTCAGGTGATTTTTGTTGTTGTGTGCTTTCGCCTGGTTCTTCAGTGTACTAGATGTTCGTCCAATCAGATACCGCCTCAGTCTTCCAGACACGTCCAGTTTGACACAGACCCAAAACTGTCTGTCTTCATAATCCCATCAGCGATGGAACAGAATGAATGTGTAAAAAAAAAGGTTACATTAAAGTGAATGGACTGTGACACACAGGTGACCGCCAGGATTCTACACTGACCAAATATTTCACAAAAATGGGAAACGTTGTATGTACGTTGTAGGATTGCATGTTTTGCTTGAAGAGAAATCACTCATTTATCAAAGTTTGCCTCTGCTGTGCACTGACTCTGCATCCGCTCCTCACTTCATTTCATATTTTTTACCACGAAATTACCACAAAGCCATATAATCAGCCACATGGGCCGAAGGGCAAAGAAGGAAAGAAAGAGCCTGGATCAGATGGAGTAAACAATCTTTATTCTAACATTCTTTTAAATCCAAATGCTGTTTCATACTACCTGCTGCTGAATGGAAATTGGTTCAAGTTCAACTGAAATGTACTTTCTGTGTTTTTAGTTGTACCTCTGTGCATTAAGCCTCTGTAATATTTATACCTGAATCACGTTAACGTGAATTCAACATTTACAGTCTTTTATTGATTTTCCTTGAGAGATTTTTCTCTTCAAATTTGTCAACATGACTTATTGAAGAACACTTCAAACCAGTGATTGATTTTTATACTGAAATTTAAATGTAAAGATTTCCACAACATTTATATTACAGTTTGGAAAGGAATAGACAGATCCAGTCTTTAATTGTGGCTTCTACATTTTTGAACAACCTATACTGCATAAAACAGTTCTGAGAGACTGGAATGTTATCAAACAAACTAAGAGTTCTAGCTTCCTGCTTCAAATACCTTAAAACATTAGTAGTAAACTCGTAAAAAGTAGGTTAAAAAAAACCTACTTCATCCAGTTGCCCTCGATGTAACTGTTTTTGGTTTAACTTTGTGTTGAGCAATCAGTTTTTATTCAGACACTAGGTTTCCTGATTACATTAAAATAAAAACACATTTGGCTGCAACAGCAGTTAATTTCAGTTGAACTTAAAACTCATCCTGGTCCAGAACAGTGATCATTTATGAATGTGTTTTATATTTTTGAGAAATTTCTTTGCTAGGCTTAATTGGATCATCTCTGTTTCTGAAAGAGTACTGTAAGAGCAGTTTGAGGTCCCTGTGTACATGTGTTGGTTTTTTTTTTCTGTTTTAATTTTCCTGTTTTAACTTGAGGATTTTAAATTGGTGTGGTCTGTGTTTGTCATAAAATATGTCTCAAAAGAACATATTGTTCATTTTTTCAGTTTAAGTACTTTTTTATGCATCTAACATAGGCGTGAATGCCAGATCAATGCAATCATTTACATGCATGTCGGACACAACAACCGTGTTTAAAGAGGTGAACTTTCAATAAGACAGTCCTCCGCTGTCGGATTGTGACCAACATCTTCATGAACTGGCACACTTTGAGGGTGTAGGTACACACTGGACAAAAAATGCAGGGTACTGCCAATGTACTGACAGATTCCAAACGGTATTACACTGCTCACAGCAGAAACAATCAGGAATTCTAAGGCATCATGACATGGGTAACATCATGGTTTGGACCAGGAGGCTGGTACCCTGCCTGTCTGTGTGTGTCTGTGCTGTTCTGTTCACATCAACCGCCGTCTGTTGGCCGAGATACACTGACAAATAATTAAAAAAAACCTTTTGATTCATCAATTTTGTGTGTGTTTTTAAAATCCACAAAAAATAATACCATTTATCATAGGTGATGGAAAAACAGTAGTACAAGGTAGAAGGCAGCAGGAAAGAGTAAGGCAATACTATACTGACTGGAAAAGGCAGGACCCAAAGCATACAGAATAAGCTGGCAGTGAGACACCTGTCTGTTTGTAAGAAGAAATTAGCTAGATGGCAGTAATTTATAGATTGGGAAATCGACAGGAACTGAACTCAGGGAACAATGAGTAGAAATAATAAATGTGTTTGTTTCGATATTTTACCTCAATTACGATCGGTGTAAGGACTTTATCGTTAAAACATCAAAGTTGCGTGTCTTTGAAAATATGGTAATCAAACATATGGTAATACCGCAGGATGCCTCCAGGGGGCACACTCCCGGTGTACATTTTCACGGGAATAGAAAAAATACACTTCCTTTCTTTCTATATGTCAGTGTAACACTAAGACTGGGTGTCGTTGTGTAAAACACCAAGACTGGGTCTTGTTTAAAGAAACTATTTATTACTTAAAGTGTATTTACAGTTCCCGTGCGCTGCGTTTTACCTTTTCTGTCTACAAGGTATTCTAAAAGGTTGACATGAAACCGGAAACGGATGTTGAACACGGAAGCTTTTAAGAAACGTACCGTCCGCCATAAAGAAGGACATCAGTAAATGTTGAGTGAATTCAAGCTTTTAAACTGTACAGAGGAAGTTAATTTCACTTTAACCAGTTAGATTTAGGGAAATATAATGCACCACTAACAAAACAACATTGTGGACTGAGTACAGTTTAAACAGAAATGGACAGACTTAGTAGCGACGTAGCGTCGGTGGTTGAAGTTGCTTTCCAGGCGGCGGTATCAGTGTTCAGGGATGTTTTGGTAAAAGAAGCGCCGAACTTGGAGTGGAAAGAGTCCAATTTTACGCAAATTCGCGAGATTGAAAGATGTCTGGTGTGTCAGATCCAAAAAGTGTTCACGGAGGTTTCATCCGACCTCATTGAGGAAATCGAGGCTCTGCGGGCCAAAGTGGAGCAGTTGGAGGATGTGCTGCAGAAGAAAGCCGGCCAACTGGAGCAGGAGCTGGAGGCCAGAGTGGGTCAGCTGGGCAGAGAAATGGAGCAGCTGGAGCAGGAGCTAAAGAGCTTTAGCCACAGCACCAGCAATGGTAAGAGAGGAATAGCTCACATTGTGGTGCCGGATGTAGCACTTGTAGGTGAAGGGAAAGTCCCACAGTTTCATCAACTTGGTAATGATCCAATGAACCTCACTAGTCAGAGTTAAACATGAACTTGATACATTGGTTTGTCGACAGAATATATCAGGCGTAATACCCTAGTCTGTGGGTGTACAGTACAAAGGGTGAAGATAACGTCATGCACGTTTGTAAACACGCAACATGTCGTTTCGTCTTCTTCCTCTAAGCGGAGCTCTAATACAGTGACTTTTGGTGGTGGTTTATACAGATCTAATTAAATGACTTTTTTACAACATTATAGAATATTACAGAGTTAAATATGGCATCGCAGAAATAAAAGTTATTCGTTAACACGCTACGGATTGCTGATGTTGCAGCCGATAACTAGGGCAGATTAGTGGCAGGAAGTTAGAAACAGGTTGGGTGAAAACTGAACAATACACTCTCATAGGGACAAACACGAACAGTTTTTATCAGAAGCAAAATTCTGTGAACCTTGAATGAAAATGTTGTTTAGATTAGTTCAGAGCTAAGGCCTATTATAACATGTCTGTTATGTGTTATGTCTAACCATAGGTAGTCACTATACTCTTAAAGCCAATATATAATTTGTGTATTCTGTTTTAAAAATGTAGTGTACTGTGTATGTTAATGTACATGTCAACATATCGTAAGAACATACAGTTACACTGTAGTACATTCTGTTCTTCTTTAGCAATGGATAATTCTATTTTTCCTTGACCACCACAGATGCTGCAGAAAACACTGCTGCCTCAGCGGATGATGCAGAAAAAATGTCCACAAACTCTGCACCTGGAGGCAAAGAAAGTAAAGTCGGTTCCACAGAGGAGTCCACGACTGTCACTCCAACTGCAGTGTCCCTTGTGGCTGACTTGGATATGAATCCATCTCCTACTGCAACACAGACTGACACTCAACCAACAGAACTGCATGTCATTCTGGAGACAGCAAATTTACTGGGGTCTACGCCTCAGGATGTTCCCAGTCCAAACTCCATGATTACCATCAGTAACAATGTAGTGGAGGAGCAGAAGGTAGAGTAGTAGACTATGCTTCATTTTAATGTTTTCCAAATGTGTAGATTTTTTTTGTGAATTTTATCAGTGTCAAGCATTTAATTTTATGTCAATGCATGAAGTTGTCAGTGATATGACCAGTGTCCCCTTGAACAACAGAAATCCAAGGGAGAGCAACCTACGGGGAGACCGAAAAGAATGAGGAAACCGACTTATAAAGCTGAAAAAGGTAAATAAACTGATTTGATATCTGGTCAGTCAGGTTTTTTTATTAGTCAAATTTGTCTTGCCTGCTACACCAAAATAATAATATTAATAATAATATTTTCAGATTTTACTGATAACGAAATCAAGGAGAAGAGAATGAAGCCAAGTGAAACGTTAGCAAACAAGGAGTCAGAAACAGACGAGCGTTTCTCCTGTGAGATCTGTAATGTTGGCTTCTACTGGAAAGGTGACCTGAACAAACACATGAAGACTCACAACAAGCCTTTTCCTTGTGACCAATGTGACAAAAGTTTCTTGTCAAAGAAGTTGCTTGAGAATCACATCTTGCGCCACGAAACGGGTAAAGCTCCTGGGCTTTTCCCCTGTCCTCGCTGTAAAAGAACATTCAAAAAGGAACAGTCACTGCAGAATCATCTCAAGTGTCACCAGAAGTCGAAGCCACCGAAACCGTTTGTCTGTGACCAGTGTGGGAAAACATTCAGGGTCAAACAGTCTTTGGAAAACCACCTCCTGCGTCATGAGAAAAGTAAGGAAGTGCTGAAGTGTCCGCTCTGTGAGAAGACGTGTAAGACATCTGTGCAGCTGAAATGTCACATGACTGTGCACTCAGAGGAGCGGCCGTTCAGCTGTGAGAAATGTGGGAAGGAATTTAAGAGTAAAGACACTCTTCGCTTCCATCAGATGGTACACACAAATACTAAAAAATATAAGTGTAACATGTGTGAGGAGTCTTTCAAGTACGCTCACTCCCTGACTGTGCATAAGAGGAAACACACTGGGATCACTCCTTTCATATGCACAGTGTGCAACAGGTCGTATAGAACTGGAACCGCGCTGAAGAGACCCAGCATTGTCCACACGGGGGAGAAACCATTCACCTGTCACATTTGTGGAGCCAGGTTTAACCTGAACAACAACCTCAAGAGGCACATTCGCATTCACACGGGAGAGAAACCGTTCACTTGTAAAGAGTGTGGCAAGAGCTTTGCAGACAACAACAAGCTGAAGTCACACATGCTGGTTCACGGTGCCAGGAAGCCCTTCATGTGCGATCTGTGTGGGAAAACCTTCCTCTTCAACTGCAGGCTCCAGATGCATCAGAAGTATGTGCACATTGATAGAACTGGCGAATCGGACGCCACGCAGACGGTGTCACAGAGGAGACAGAGGAATAAGTCCCTGGTGAAGCCGTTCAGTTGTAAAATATGTCTGAAAGGTTTCAGTGCTGCCTATTCCCTCAAACTTCATGAGCGAGGGCACAGTGAGCACAAGGAGTTTAACTGCGGCATATGTGGGAAGGGTTTCCACAATAAATACTCTTTCAGTTACCACCAGAGAAGCCACGCTGGCGAGAAGCCATATGTGTGCGCCGTCTGCGGAAAGAGATTTTTCCACACCAGCAGCCTGAAGCAGCACGAACGGATTCACACTGGAGAAAAACCGTACAAGTGTGACCAGTGTGGCAAGGAGTTCAGAACGGATGGAAACTTCTACAGACACCTGAGGATCCACACTGGCGAAAAGCCCTTTGAGTGTTTTCACTGTAACAGGAGGTTCCACCAGTCCAATCAGCTCAAGTCCCACATGCAGATCCACACGGGGCAGAAGCTGTACATGTGTCAGCAGTGTGGACAGGGCTTCTCTGACTCCAGGCAAGTGAAGAAGCACAGCTGTGAGAGTGTGCTGGCCACTGCTGCACTCAGCTGACGGACAAACATGAGTGAGTTTAGTCCAATCTGAGCTTATCTGCCAGTTTAGTTTTAGTGACACCGATGAAATAACTGTGGGTTCCGTCTTCATATTCATATCCATGTTTCCATTGAACAGCACCACAAACCATCAGTTCCATCCAAGGGGATGTGCTTGTATTGTTGGGACTGCATTTCCAAACCAACAAGCCTTTCATTTGGGTGGACCACAAAGGTCTTGGAATTTAAAAAAATAATTTTGACAAAAATCCTCTGCATTCTCCAGGCAGAGAGGAATGTGCTGCAAACCTTACATTAAAAGTCCCTGTGTTTCCCAGTTTTACTCTTGATCATGAACTATATCTTTGCTAACAACAGTCTTCTCAATTCCACCCCTGAGTTTTTGATCCCTGTGTAGGAAATGACAAAGATTTTTTAATGCAGGAACTAGTACCAGCAATGTACAACGTATTTGCATGCCTAAGCAAGAATTATAAGGTCAAAGCAAGTAACAGGAAATCAAAAAATAATTCCTGCTCAAGAGGTACTGTTGGGGTGAAGCTTGCAGCCCTTAATGTTCTTTCAGGGAACTTCACCTACAAAGACCGGGTGAGTGAAAATCATCATTCAACAACTACTACATCTATATACAGTATTTGTTTAAATTAATTAAAGTATACATATTTATATTTAAAGTTTCCACTTTCAAAAGAACAGGAAAAGAAAAAATACTAACATGAAGCAACACGTGCAGATAAGCATTTTTTAGGAACTTCTTTCAACTTCTATGTAATCTTATTTTGTGACCACAAATAGGTTTATTTATATGCAGCCACAAAATCGTTCATTACGAAAATTATTTAAATATTTAACAACTCCAAAATTATTTTTTATTCATATGGTTTGTTATCTGTGCTACAAGCTCCACCCTGTCTTTTAGTAATCAAAGTACTAATTTGCATAACGTTTTTGGTACTTCAACTGCAATGGAAATGTAAGAAACTGTTAAATTAAAGGGAAAATTAGGGAATTTTATTGTAGTGCTAAGAATATCCTGAAGGATAACACACCTAAAGATCCTTGTACCATTGCCAGTACCTAGTACTAATTCCTAAGATGAGAAGAAGAAATAACTCAGAAAAGCAGTTCATCTGTATAGGTTTGAAAATATGTGCTATTGTTGTAAACAACAAATTGTTTTGTGTTTTTGTTCCTCTAATATATAAATACATCTTTTTTTTATTGACTCGAACTGGTAAGATTAAAGCGTGAGCTGATCAGTCCTGAGTGCTAACATTAGAAGTAAACAATATTGTTTTGGGGCATTTGCATTGTGTTTCTACTCGTTTCTTCAGAAATCTCAGGTGTTAAAAATACAACATTTTTCTTACCTGTATTAGGGTTGCGATATTACGTAGCTGTTATTAAGACTTTGATAGAAGCTAGCTTGATTTTTGGGATCACTGAAATTAAGATGTAGGTTATTTTATTATGGCGTGTAATGTTTCTGGGCTTTTTGTTTTTATTTACCAGAATGCAGAATGGAATTTAGATGTAATTACTTTATATAAATAAATTTGACAGCCATAACGTTATATCAGAATTAAACTTTTTTGCTTATTGCAAATCGTTCACGTTTTATTTTGAAAAGGTGCGCGGTCCTCCACTACTACTTCCTGCTCTGGGTTTAATGGCGCCTTTCTCACACCAGCGAACTTTAAAAAGGTACAATGTCAATAAACTCCGGTTTTGTTGCTTTAACGCAGTCTATCGTGGAGATGGCCTTAAAAACTGCGTCATACATGATTGGAGACTCAGAAGGGTCCGCCAACACGAGGAAGCAGGTGAGTAACGTGTGTGACGAGATTGGACAGAAGGAGTAAAGTCAAGGAGAGGGACGACATATACAGTCTCTGGTGTTTCAGCGAGTTATATTCACCCAGTGATGTTAAGGTGCCTGACAAAAGAATGAAAATAAGACTTTGTTAATCTCACACTGGCGATTTTCTCACATTTCAAAAATACGTTGGTTGGTTATGAAGAGTCGAAAACCCTCAAACACTACAATAATGTGGAAGCAATGACCATTAAGGAAATAAACTATTATTCTTAAAGTTAATTGTTTGCATTTGACATATTGTTTGTCAAATTCAATAGATTTCTAAAAGAATTATATATAAATAATATAATCTACATTTATGCATTTAGCAGACGCTTATTATTGGTAATATGAAATGGAGGAAAGTAAACCAAAAACAATGATATGAGAGTATAAATCACAGCCAATGTGCAAAACACCACATTTTGTAATGTAATTATATTTGGGTAAACATTTAGTATTTGTCATTTCTACTAATGTTTTTGTTTATATTGCATTTACATCTACATTTTATTCCAACAGTCAGATTTGATTGTGGAATCTTTGGCTCGGGAAGCAACAAGAAAGATCAGCAACATTTTCACCCAGCTGTGCCTAATGCTGCAGAGAGAAAACACCACTCTGAAGGCTACAGTGGGACAGCTGCAGAGTGAGCTGAAGACTATGAGGGAAAACTTTGAAAGCACGAGGGCGGGGAGAAACAGCATCCTGAATGGCTGCCCAATCCTTATTGAAAAGAGTGGATTGATTTTCACCTCAAAGTCGAGTGGGGAGTTAAAAAGTAAAACCGAGTTCATAAAAAACGACATCACAGGAGAACTGTTTAGTGCTGTGGTGCAGAGAGGACCAGATGTCGGTATGTTAACTACTGGATTACTTCTATACATTTGTATAAAGCTAACATCACGTTCATCACTTGTAAATATTCATACATTCATTTAATCCATTGCTTTCAATTTCTTGTACAGATGAAGAGACTCCACAAGAGCTAAATTCTGAAGTGCAGTCCTCAACAGCAACTATCAAAGGTGACTTCACTGGTGTAACCTGTCCATATACACAACTTATGTTACATGTAAACTCAAGTGACTGACGTGAGAGACTTAGATTCTAAAATAGCTATGAAACTAGCTTAAAGTTTAGTTGCAGGCTTTCAAATCACTTGTGCTCATTGCAATCATTTCTTTGTGATGTTTTACGATGTTTTCCAAATAATACTGTTTATTATTTATCTTCTCATGCACTACATTTTGGTACCATACATTTGTTTCCTCCTGTCTAGACCCTCCTGATCATTTTACCTCAGTGAACATGACAACGTTGAGTACTGACACTCAAAACATGCAGGAAGCAGAAGCCAAGAGGAAGAGGAAGGTGTTTGTCTGTGATGTCTGTAACAAGAGCTTCAACAGGCAGTTTCATTTGATGAAGCACATCAACTCCCACAAAGAGCAGAGGCCTTTCGCCTGCAACCAGTGCTCACGAAAATTCAGAAATGCAGCAGCTTTAGAGCACCACCTGCTGCGCCACGAGGAAAAGAAGAGCGCCTCCTTTCAGTGCAGTGTCTGTGAGAAGAAGTTCAAAACCAAAGAGAACCTAAAGGCACATCAGCTCGTCCACACAGACGACAGGCCTTTCATCTGTTCCTCATGTGGGAAGGGCTTCAAAAGTAAAGGTAACCTGCAGTCTCATCAGCTGGTCCACAACAACCAAAAGCCGCACAGATGCTCTGAGTGCGGAGAAAGTTTCAGGTACGCCTTCACTTTGCAGTGCCATAAAAGTGTTCATACGGGTGAAAACCCGTACAAATGCACAGAGTGTGACAAAGTTTTTACGAAGAGGAGGTCACTGAGGTCACACAGGCTAGTTCACAGTGGAAAAACCTTCACGTGTGAGACATGTGGAGCAGGCTTCACTCTTCAGCAGAACCTGAAGAGACACTTACGCATTCACACGGGCGAGACACCTTTCGGGTGTAAAATCTGTGGGAAGAACTTTGTTCAGGACAACAAGCTTAAAGTTCACATGCTGCTGCATGGTGCTTCAAAGTCCTTTATGTGTGACCTGTGTGGGAAAACCTTTCTGTACAACTGCCAGCTCCAGAAACACCAAAAGGCAAGATGTGGCCGGGTGATACGGAGACGAGCTGAGGACCAAGGCAACCGCAGGGTGATCTACCGTCGGGACAGGACCACCGTAGATATGACTCCATTCACCTGCAAGACCTGCCACAAGAACTTCAACACCGTAGCTGCAATAAAAAGACACGAGCTGATACACACAGATCAAACACAGTACAAATGCCACACATGTGGAAAGGCGTTTTTCTACAAAGCCACGTATGACTACCATCAACGCATTCACTCAGGAGAAAGGCCATTTGGTTGTGACGTATGTGGAAAGCGTTTCATCATCAAACAGGCTCTGAAGGCTCACCAGCTGCAGCACTCAGGGGAGAGACCACACACCTGTGAGCAGTGTGGGAAGACCTTTAGGATCCATTCAAACTACCGCAGGCACTTGCGCATCCACACGGGTGAGAAGCCCTATGAGTGTGGAGTTTGTGGAAAGACGTTCAGGCAACTTGGACACGTGAAGTTTCACATGCAGGTCCACACAGGAGAAAGACCGTACTCTTGCAGCAGCTGTGGACTTGGATTTTCAGATTCAAGGTTGCTCAAAAGACATAACTGTGCTGTCAAAAATATAAAGGTCTTGGAAGACACACTCACTCTGGCCTAACACGGAATTAGTTCAGGCATTGACTCAATTAAAAATAACAAGAAAGAAAAAGCAGGGCAGTCCTCCTTTAAAAAAATATAAGTAGTGGTTAAATTTCTGCAGACATATTGGTATTAAATGTGTGAATGTGTAAAAGACCTCTCCCTATGGTCCATTTAAAGCACCCCCTGCAGGACAGATGGCAAATCTTTTAACTATGTCCATGTACTATATATTTATATATTATACAACAAAAACATCACACTGTATGGCCTGTATTCAAGTGGAATAAAAAGCTCTTTGTTAATGTAGCACAGAAGCAACAGATCCATGTTTAGTATTCATGGTTAAAGCTGTGTGCTGTTAATATTTACGACCTAAATCTGGTATATATGTATCATCACTAATTTATGATATTTTTTTATATCGTAAATGAGTTCATAACTGTAAGCTACAATGTGTTTTCATGTGTTTAGACGCAAATGATGTGGAACCATTCGGTACTAGGTTTCACACATTGCAAGAAAATTATTTTTAATGTCAAATAGTACTGCAATTTAAATTACTTTAGTTAAGTCGTTGTAACACGATTAAACCAAGTAGACATCGTCTGTCAATTGCTTCAGGGTGCGTACCTTTATTTTGAAAATCCTGACCTGGAAGTTGAAGGTGGATTCGTGTTGTGTTTGTACATGTACCAAGTTTTTTAACATTACTCCTAGAAAATGACCGAATGTTTCACCTGTTAGTCAACAAGACGTAATCAGCATTTATTTACCATACATTTATTCGTCATGTCGAATTTGGAGACACAAGTGGCCGCCATTTTGGAGATAATGGTGAACGCGACTGTCAAAGAAATTAGTAAAGTAACGGCTGAAAACACCGAGAGATCAGAAGGGAAGGTACGTTGGAGTATCGAAGACCATGGTCTTGTACAGCGAGTTCGAGTTACTGTTACATTTCTACTGTTTGTCTTTCTCTTGTTGGCTCTCCATCGCCGTCAGCTGATCATAGAAATAGAAGAACTAGCTGTGCACGGCAGCTGCGTCCTGCCAAGACATGTCCATTTGCGCCACATTTATGCGATGCTAATTAGACTACGTTCAAAGTGATTGGTAAGACGTTATCGATTCTCTGCTACAATAGAAATAATAATTTGTTAGACGCAATTAGGATTTGTAGACTGACGTAGGCCTATCTATCCGGTGCATGTCTATACACTACAACAACTTGCACGAGGTATTGAATTTCTTGAACATTGTTTTATTTTTATTATCCTGTGTTGTGTTTTTTTCTTTTTCTTTTAATAATTAATTAATTGTGCATTGCGTGCAACTTCGCGGCGTTTCGTGATCGGGTTCTTTATTTTATTTTTTTTATAGGTAAATATTCTTTATGTAATATTCTTGTCCAAACAAGTGGAGAAATAAGTGAGATTGTGTGTGACAGCCTGCGGTCATAGTCAAAGCACACGGAATGTGAAGTTTATCTAATGGGTGTTACTTCAAACCAGTAGTGTTTAATTTAATTTTCATGTCATTATCTACCGCTTAATCCTGTTCAGTGTCGCGGAGTCAATCTCAGCTGTCAACAGGCGATGGGGGAGTGTGTGTGTGTGAGAGTGTGTGTGGGGGGGGGGGGGGGGGGGGGGCGTCATTTTCTTTTAGTTTTAAAACAAACTTTGAACAAAACATCGTACATCTAATGTTTAATCCATAAATAGTAAAATCTACAATTTCCACATTTGTGAAAAATATTGATATTTTGTGTTCAGTGGATTTGAGTCCTCTATTAATGTGCTCTTAAAGGTGATCCAAGTCAGTGTTTTAATGACGTCTCTGGCTCGAGAAGCAGTTGAGAAGATCTGCCAGCTCTTTCATGAGTGTTCCTCCCTGCTGCAGATAGAGGTAGGTCACTGCTCTGTTCTTCTACTGAAACCTGTTACAACCTGTTGGGTATGATCCCTGTCAAAAAGTGATGTCATGTTATTTGCCTATTTCTTTGAAACAGAGCTTTACCTGATGAAATGTGATTTCTATCCTTATAGGTGTCACAGGGTGTGGCAGAGATCGAGGACTTAAGGCGGAGGCTGGAGGTGGCAGAGATGGAGCTGAAACTTGTGCTGGAGGGCAGCAGGGTTCAGAAGGAAGTGGAGATATCGACTGAGGAGAGCAGTGTGGAGAAGGCTCTGACAAATGGTGCTGATGAAGATGCTGTCCAGAACAGCCATCGCTCTGGGAGGAAGAGTCACAGAGGTCTTGTTTTTTTTCTAGCTTCAGCCCCCCCTCACCATCTGGAAAAGGATTTAGTGGAAGAAGAGGAATACATGAAAAGAACAATTGTATTGATGCATTTAAAAAGTTTGAAGACTACATACATTTAGTAACAAAATCAACCAGGGAAAAAAAGAAAATTGCCCAGTATATATATATTTTTTTTTTTACACCAGGGGTTGCTATGTTATATCTCTGTTGATAATCTTATCTTTTCTTTGATAGCAGTGATAACCAGTGCTTCGGGAGTTAAACGGTCACCAATACTTCATCTGTGGAAAGGACGAACCTGTGAGGTAAATTCCCACAATGATTTATTTATTATTAAACTGCAGGTTATTTTCTTTAAAGTGTTACCCTTTTTACCACTAAAGACAATTACACACATTGATATCTCATGCTACAGCACACACACGCACTGACAACTAAAATTCTAAATAAAGAAAGGTCTTAAATATGGCTGTTTATTGTACAAGCTTTGCTTTGACGTTATTCTCTGGTCGTCAAAAACCTCGCCAGACCAATATTTGTATACAACAGAACTGGTGTTAACGTAAACTTAATAAAAACTCATCATATTTTTAATCTCTTGTCTTTCTCCAGGACAGTGTCCACACGGTGATAATTAAAGAAGAAGGTTTGGAGGCATTTGCTGACCCTGCATATGAAGATTCAGTTCATAACACTGATGAGGACCCAGACTTCCAGGTTGATTCCATTAGTATTCTAATGTCTCTTTAAAACCCTTAAAGAATTGTAGTATTAATATTTAGTTGTGTTTTTTTTCCTCTCCTAGTTAGGGCCAGAAGTTGTACATAGTGATTCCCAAGGACGCAAAGCCAGATCCAAACATTTTGTAAGGTCAAAGTCTCACAGAGGCAGAGTGAAGAAGAGCGGCCAAAGTCAGCAGCCCCTGAGCTGTAAACACTGCAAGAAAACCTTCAGCAATCTGCTGCAGCTCAAAGCCCACCAGTCCGTCCATGGAGCAACTGTTGAAAAGCCCTTTAACTGTGCTCAGTGTGGACGAGGGTTTTCCTTCCAGCGCAGCCTCAATGCACACCTGCTTCTGCATACTGGTGAGAAAGGACCGCCTGGGACCAAGTCCTTGATATTTTAACTTTTTTTTTTTTTAACCAATGTCTTCACTCTTTTTCTGAACACAGGAGAGAGACCTCACACTTGTGATGTTTGTGGAAAAGGTTTCACTCTAAAGCAACTGCTGAGGAACCACCAGCGCCTCCACGCTGACGTCAGACCGTTCAGGTGTGACCAGTGTGGAAAGTGCTTTTACAGAGCTCATGGCCTAAAAATGCACCAGAAGGTCCACACTGGTGAGCGGGCCTATAAATGTCACTACTGCAGCAAAAGCTTCACAATCCCAGGAAACCTGCAGCGCCACCTGCGCATCCACACGGGCGAAAAACCATTCAAGTGCGAAACGTGCGGAAAGAGCTTCAACCAGGCCGACACTCTGAAAGGACATCAGCGAATACACACCGGCGAGCGTCCCTTCAGCTGTGAAACCTGCGGCAAGTGCTTCATCCAGAAGAATGCCTTGAGGATGCATCAGAAAACGTCTCACTCGGGCGTGAACTCTCTGGTCTGCGTGGCCTGTGGCATGGTGGTGGCATGTGTCGACTTACTGCGCAAACACCTCCAGACGCACGCGGCTAATATCCCGTGCGCGTGTGTGCTGTGTGACCTGCGGCTCAGCTCCATCACTGAGCTGCGCATGCACCAGCAGAATCACTCAGTGGACAGACCCCACAGCTGTGGACTGTGTGGGAAGAGTTTCAAATCCTCAAGTTACCTGAAGATTCACCTGAAGACACACAGCGGAGAGAAACCGTTCTCTTGTGACATCTGTGGTCGTCTGTTCACACAGCACAGCAGCCTCAAGTCACACCAGGTATGGTAGAAAATGAACTAATGGTTGGAGATGTAATGTGGGGGATAGATGATCTTCCACTTAATTCTCGACCTCATTAGTGTCAACTCTCCAAAGGTGTAACTACATTTACCAATACATTGCAGAGATTGAAATGAAATAATTGCTCTTTTTCCAAAGGTGGTTCACACAGGAGAGAAACCATTCAGCTGCGACACGTGCGGGAAATGTTTCAGTAACTCAGGCAACCTGAACAGACACCAGCGTATCCACACTGGAGAGAAGCCGTTTACCTGTGACACGTGCGGGCGCAGCTTCAACCAGGGCAACAGCCTGAAAGCCCACCAGCAGATCCACACTGGAGAGAAACAGTTCATTTGCGACAAGTGCGGTAAGAGTTTCTCTTACCTTAGGAACCTCAAGGACCACAAGTGTTTCTATGTCTGATGCCAAGAGACTCTCCCCCTGTTGGTGGAACTGAAGACAGACACCTGTTTATGACAGTGGGTCAAGTCTGAGTCTGGTTTGAACTACTACAGCTGTAGAGTAGAAGTCTTTGATATCATGCTCCTCAGTTAAGTTCCATCGAGAATGAGGAAGGCTAGCTGTTTTTAGAGAGCTTTCACCCGAGCAGATGACACTCTAAGTGATAGACACGTCAAACACAAATGTCATTAACTACTGACCTGTCTGTGAAATTTTACACTGTATACTATCTACCATATATATAATATGGTCTTTCTTATAATGTATTTCAATTGAACCATAACCATTGAATTTATTGTCAGCAGGTATCAGTATAATCAGTATAGGTAAGTATATTAAAAATGTCAGAAAAAAGTTAAATCTTCAGTACATCTGACGTCAACAAGGGTGATCAACCTGGGACCGTGGCACAGGTTTGGTTCAAAGCCAAAATGTCAATTCATTTTGTTCTGAAACTGATAGTGGGGTTTTTTCACGATGTTGATCCAATGAAGAAAATTGAGTAAACTGACAAAATACAAAAGCAGAGTATCTTGGCAGCTCTGTGGCAGTTTGTGAAATAAAACAACACTAAAAATCAATTGACCTGTAATGGCTTTAATTGTGCGAACAAAGATAAAGATGCAGAGTCTAACAGTGTGATTCATGTAAATTATTTTACATTCATTGTTATGGTATGGCAGGTTTTTTTGTCTTCAGTGACAGCACTGTTAAAAATGTATGCACTGATATATTTGTTTGTTTATGCTATTTATTTCAAACATGCAGATAGCTCAATGCTACTGGAACACCACCAACAAATTCTTTGCACTAAAACAATATTGAAATGAAGAAGAAATGAAGTGAAATTATGAAAACACAGGGAAGAAAATAATTACATATTCGAAAAGGAGTGAGAAGAACCACGGCTTGATGTAGAGTTCAACAAAAAAAGAAATCAGCAAAGCACAGACACAAAAAGGTTTCGGAGGTTGAAACCACATAAAGTGTGTCATGTTAGTCTGACAGCGATGTGTGCCCAGAAGAGCACACTTAGCATTCTTAGAGGAAACGTGGGTTCAAAGCTGCTGGCAGCGTCTGCAGTGCAGTAATGTTGTAACAATAAGTCAGGCTTCACTCTATGAGACCAGGCCAAGTCTTCAGTCAGGACAGAAGAGTTGAACAGAGAGGCAGATGGCGATGAAGAGTTGACGTAGCAGACAGGCTGGTCTCCCAGCTTGCCTCCGTGCATCTTGACCCAGCAGCTGATGTAGCCGATATGTGAACTGGTGCAGTCCCACAAGTTATCCGAGAGCCAGACAACGTGAAGCTTTTTCAAAGGCTTAAAAGCTCTGCTCTTCACCGCTTTTAACTGGTTGGACTTTAAACCCAGCTTGTGGAGGTTTCTAAGTCCCCGAAAAATATCAGACTGCAGAAGTTGAAGTTTGTTCCCATCTAAGTTGAGTTCAGTTAGTTTGGTCAGCTTGGTAAAAAGCTGGGGGTGTAAAGTGGTGAGGCTGTTGTTCTTCAGGAGAAGCTTACCGAGGTTGCTGAGGAAATGGAAAGTGTTGAAGTCAATGCTCTGAAGCTGATTGAAGTTCAGCCTGAGTTCTTTGAGATGAGATAACCCTGCAAAGCTGGACGCTGACAGCTGCAGGAGACAGTTTTTGCTCAGATCTAATGTGGTCAAGTTAGACAAATTAATGAATACACTTGGAGGGAGTTTACTAATGTGGTTTCCATTCAGTTTTAACTCTTTAAGATTGGTCAGGTTTCTGAATTGGTCTGGGTGCAGAGTGGAGATATTGTTATTGGACAGCCGTAGTTGGTTTACCTTCACTAAATCATGGAAAACTGAGTGATGCATAAAAGTGATGTGGTTGTCGTTGAGGTCTAGCTCCCTGAGATCAAACATCTCCCGGAAAAGTCCTTCAGGAAGTTGCTTCAGTAAGTTGTTCTCCAAATAGAGGTTCTGTACCATGATGAGGTTGGAGAACAGCACTGGGTTCAGCTGGGAAATAAGGTTGAATGACAGTTGTAGTTCAGTGAGTCTCCAGAGGGAATCAAAGAGTCCGTCTGGCAGGACAGAGATCTTATTACTGTCCAGATGAAGCTGCTTCAGGTTGGTCAGGGGACTGAACACATGCCAAGGAAGAGATTTCAGTCTGTTTCTGTAAAAATCAAGTGACTCCAGGTTGATCAGGTCACTGAAGACTTGAGAGGGAAGAGAGTCTATGAGGTTAACACTGAGGTCCAGGACTCGCAGCATGGTCAGACCTCTCAGTGACCCCTCAGACACAGTGGTCAGCTTATTGTTTCTCAGGTCTAGCTCAACCAGCAGGTTGAGGAACGAGAAGCAGCCGTCTGGAAGGTCAGTGATGTTGTTTATCTTCAGATACAGAACCGTAAGGTTTCTCAGATCGCTCAGTGCCTCAGATGGAATGGTGACCAGCCTGTTTCCAGTAAGGTCAAGTCGTTGGAGACCTCCCAGTCCTCGTAATATCTTCTCATTCAACTTAGTAATTCTGTTGCGTGACATAATAAGTTTCTTTAAAACAGTCGAGTTCTGGAAAACTCCCTCCTCTATCATTGTTATATTGTTGTGGCTCAGGTGAAGGTCAGACAGTGTGAGGGCGCCGTCCAAGCCACCGACCTGTAACGACTGAATGTGGTTGAAGTTCACAACAAGTGTTTGAAGTTTAGCCAATCCATGGAGGAGACCCTTTGGTAGATATTCAATTAAATTCTCACTTAGATCCAGTAAAGTGAGAGCAGTGCACATATGGAACTGACCAGGATGCAGTAATCTAAGGTGGTTGTCACGTAAGAAAAGCTTGGAAAGCTTTGTCATATTTGGCCACACTGGGTTGTTAACCAGGAAGAGATGTAACCTGTTCCTGGTCAGGTCCAAAACCTGCAGAAAATCAGAAACAGTATATTTGTGCAGAGACCTCTCTGTTAGAAAAACAAAGATTAACAGATTTTTAAAAAACTTTTGTTTCATGAACCCTTTTTTTTATATTCTGAAATGAACCACCGTTGCTTTCATACCTGCAGCTCCTCCAGTCCATGTTCCGGTATTTGCCATATTTTGTTGTATGACAGGTACAGCACCTCTGTAGATCCTGGTACCTCAGGGATCATGTCCAGACCTTTACCCTGACATGCGACAGAATTCTGGTTTTGTATACAGTGACAGGCTGGTGGGCAGAGGTCTGATGACCACACCACGAGGCTCAGGGAGGCCAGAGTTAAAGCTGCCAGCATGACTGCACTACAGTGGGAAGCACACCTAAAACTGAAAAGTCAAATAATGTTCTTTTTGTCAGAAAAAGACACACAAAAAAAATACAACTTTTCTTTTAAACACCGAGTTGTTTGTTTGTTAAAAAAAATTAAGTTATTTTCTGCAGAAAAATAATTTACCTTTGTTACTATTATCATTATTGCATTTAAATCTGAACTTACCACTTTGGTGTGAGCTGTGATGTTCCTGGACGTTATTGCTGAAAAGTGAAAAGTGAGACTGCAGACTGAGAGCTGCTCACGTTGTGTTCGGCTTCAAAAGAAGATGTGGTTAGCAAGGGTTTTTTTTCTCAGAACAGTGAAATTTGTTTAGCCCATGTCTCATATGGAGGCACAAAAGAACTGTAAATCTGCACAGTGTCTGTCACCTTAAAAACTGCACCCATCAAACCTGACAACTACGTAAGGTCTGTTTGTGTTTTAATTTGAGTAAACATCCAACAGCGTGATAAAGTTTAACACTTAAAAAAATTAATTATTGCAACAATTTTACTTTAAAAGAGCATAAAAACATTTTCTGTTATCAAGGGGTTTAATGTTATCTTACAGGAAATACAGGAAACTGTCAAAACAGAAAAAAGTTTTCAGTTTGGAATTGTATGTGTTTTTATCTTTATATCACTGGAACTGGCTCTCATAAAAGACAAAGGACATTTACTTTCAGTATCAGTTTATAAAACAATCACGGACCAACTCATATTTGAAAATACATGTTAAGGCCCAGTAATATTTAGCTTTCAGTTCTCACTTTTCTACCCAACCATCCATCCACCTAATTTTGTTTTACTACCACTATTTGGCCAACAGATGGCAGCCTTTCGTTTTTTTTTTCTCTAGACAAATCCAGCGAACTGATGGTATTGCGTTTATTTAACAATGACACAGGTATCTGACTTTCACTGTCACTTCCAGCAGTTCTGTGGTGTTAGACCGTAACTGACTTTAATTCTTGTTTAGTGTGTGTCGTAGTTACGTAGTTGTCCCCTTGTTTCTATTGATTACACGGTAAATGAAGCCGCTTGGTTCTTGCTGCTAGTGGGAGCGTCTGCTGTACTGACTGGTTGAGCAGGCGGAGCGGTGGGCTATAATCCATTTCAGATTACAGCGCGGAGCATTAACATCAGAAGTGTGAACGTCCGAGGAAGACAACATTCAGCACAATTGACTTTCTCATCTATTCATGGTCAATTCAACGACTGGTCTGCATCTGGTATGACATTTATATACTTTATGTCATTATTTTTCTTTATCCTTAACCTAAACCCTTTCTATAGTGTTGGTCATTTATACTGGTTAGCATTTTAAATTAGAGTTCTTTAAAATGTAAGGACTATTTTAATGGTAATGAAATTAATCAAACACAACCACTTTCTAATTTTTGATGTTGTTTGAGTCAGGAAAAGAAAATAAGAATACATTAATTTGATAACATCGCAAAGCATTCTACAGTAGGCTGTAAATCTAACTTTCAGCCTCGAGTATTTCTACTGGAAACTGGGATTGATGCAGTGGCCAGTTTGATTTGCTATTCAGTTCTTAGCATGACCTTGCTTTTACACGTCTACTGCTTAGGAAACTGCAAAGGTAAAGATGGTTGAGAGATTGACTTGTTACAAAGAAATTATGATAAAAAAAATGAATTAAACAATCTGATTGAACATCAGGTCTTTGGTTCAAATTCATAGTCTTTAATTATTTGAGAAACTTCTGGTTATAGCTTTAAAAAAATACTGGAAAAAACTTAATATATTTTAAATAAAAACATTTATAAAGATGCCCTTTAATTTTATTGGTACAAGGTCTCTCTCTTCTTTTATCTCTCTCACACACAGACAGAAACTGACTCCACACTTTTTTCTACAGACCATTAGATGTATTGACATTTCCACATCCAGTATTTTTACCCTTTAACTGGTTCAGACTCTGCTGACCATGCACTGATGCCAACGATGCGGTGTACTCCGTAACACGATGTTCAGTACATGGCTCTACAGTTCATGGAATTATGGACTGCTGCTGTTCTTTCCAGCATTGATTGTCCCCCGGCAGAAGGATGGGCAGTACTTTGCTCTATTAGTAAACCCCTGGTTCTGCCTCTAAAGTATGTCACTGGATGCACATGTTTGTTGAATCAGGTGATTTTCTCATCTTTCTCTAATTTCTTAGGGCTTCTTATCATTATTGATGACAGTCGTAAGCCTGCAGTGAGGGTACGAGAGCATTATGAGGCCATGGATTCGATCCAACAGGTCCCGTTCAGTCCAGGTATGATTTTTTTTTTTTTTATGTGATTCTTATTAAGTCACATCATGGTACACAGACTTAGTATCTTAATCGCTTTGGAGGTAAGAATCTATCACTTTTTTTATTTAACTAAGAGTCTCCTCTAAATTTGTTATGGCTTACTAACCCTAATCGTTGTATTACTAAATATTATACATTGATGCTATTGGAATTATAATGCAGTATTTAAAATAATTTAAAATGTCCTCACAAAGGTAGAAAAAAGAAAAGTATACTAAAAGTATAGTGCTACTTAAAACCCCGCCGATACCTTAAGTAGTGCAGTAGGTGGCGATAAGGCATTAATAGTCTTGTGTGTCAACTGCAAAAAAAAAAAAAGAAAGAAGAGTGTGGTGCGCGCGCATGTGTTGGTGTGCGTCCTCTGCTGGCTCTCGACGCTGCAGCACCGCCTGTGGTTCAGTGGCTCGTTGTGTTGACGTTTCTCTCCTTTCTCTGGTCACTGTGTTTTCTCTGGAGGTGGATGTTCTGGATAGGGGCTTCCCGTTTTTTCTACCTCCTTCAGCACAAATCGTCTGATATTCATACAATTAAACGGTATGTTCTTGTGGATCGTAGTGCCGCCGCTAAATCGGCACCGGCGACTTTTCCGTCACCGCAACGGTACTTTTAGCCAAACCGAATGAAAGAGCTAACGGGCGGACCGGTCCGAGGAGGAAGAGCCGGGGAGTGACTGTCTGAGACGCTGTACATGCGCCGTTTTATTTTTTCAGCCGCAGTTTGGCGTCCATTTATTTCCCGAGGCTCCAGGCATCACCCGGTGCTTCGAAATGTTTTCTCAGGGTCCAGTCGGTGCATATTTTGGGAAGGATTTTGACCCTCGTCACACAGAAATATTTTATCAATGAGCTTGCAGGAAACCACAAACTCCATTTTTTCTTCTTCAGTAGCCGTTTCCTCAGACGAAATTTTATATTTTTATTTTTATGTTTGTTTTTACCAGACGACAATGCAGTCTAAAGCAAAGCTTTAAGCACCGGGGTTGTTTTGTGACGGTTCTTCAACAGCCAGGCTTCACAGAAATGGTGCGGTAGCGTCTGGGGGAGATTGGGAAGAAAGTGAAAAGCTCGAGTGGGGAGTCTTAGACTGTTTATTTTTCTCACATGACTCTGGTTCGAGACCGTCGACACCTCACAGACATGGCTCGGCAGTAACCTTAACTGTTTTTCCTCCTATTTTTAAACGTATTCTTCTGCGCTGCCTTTTTTTAAAATCTGTGCTGCCTTTACGGACAATGACAATGGGAGCTGAATGAGACGACTGTTTTTGCTTTCTGATATTCGGAGGCCCGGTTGATTTGTTGGACATTTTATTCCACTGTGAAACCACCCACGCCCACAATTATTGTGTATTTGTTTCTCTCGTGGACGGCGAAGATCACTCAGGGACAAAAATGTCTTTACGCACGGCACTGCCTGGGAACGAGCGGAACCAGGATCATGTAAGTATCGAAACACTGCTCTACCTAGCTGCGGTGTTAGAACGGCAGCAGGTTTCAGATGTAAATACTAACGAAATGATGCTAGTGCCCAATTTTGTTTACTAATGCACACAATCTGAAATAAATCTACTGCATGCATAGAGCAGCTGCACCAGGCAAGGCCACACAGACGCTGTAATCTCTGTCCGATCATATGTAAAGGGTTGCAATTGGACACAGACACAGGGTGTTCTCCAGGGAGGAGATGGGGGAGGTCTAGGTGCAGCCTAGGTGTCTGCTGTATTGATTGCATGAAAAGACATCCAAACTAGAAATTCTTAATGCAGTTAAAAAAAAAAATCTCTATCATACTTCCACCTCATGTGCTCTCTAGTACGCATCCCCCTCCTCCCCCTGCCCCTCCTCACCTTCACCTGATCAATAATTGATGCATCTAAAATAAGTCCACCCAACCCTTCCAACACCCAGGCTGCCCTGAACCCATCCCTTCATCTTGCTGCATCACTCTACCTCCAGCTCTCATTTTCCACCTTGTTTGACCTGTGCAGCATCCTCATGAATAAAACCTTGTCATGTGGTCCAGTGCTGTTAAATCTGCTGTGTCAGTCTGGTCTGGTTCGTCTGACTTGGTTCTCTGGTTGTTGCATCTGCATCTCTGTTTTAGAAGAATGGGATTTTAGGTTGACTGGGGGTTTTTTAAATTGCTTTTCCAAAATATAGAGTTATATTAATAGACAGCAGTAGTCTAGCTTATCTCAAGAAGTCCCCACATTTGTCTCAAGGACACTTACAGTAGCACACACGAACCCAACAGAGTCCTTTAAGATCTAACAAAGGGCCACTTCCTTTTGCAGCAGCTGACAAAATAAAAAAATACATCCGTCCTCTTGTTAAGGGCTATTTGAAGGGTATGTTGTCACTGCACCAATTCTTATGTGCCTGCTGCATAGATATTGGTCAATGGATAGCTTAAAAGCACTAGTGACAGTGGTTACAGTTTTCAGATTTCATGCAGGTTTTTTGACCTTTCTCACGCTGACGTGTTTGTATGTCCTGTCCTGGGAGGATTACATACAGTTCAGTCAAAGACACTTTTTTCTGGCCTTGTCTCCTGGCAGTAGCTGAAGTTAGGAATGGCAGCCATCGAACAAATCCACAAAAAAATGTTGTTTCAATGACGAGTTGCTCAAGGACATTATCCACATTCTGAGCTCTGGTTGAACCTTTGAGAGAGAGAGATGGTGCCAGTGCCAGCCCTCCTTACCAACCTGCTGTGTATGTTTGTATTTGTTTCCTGTGACTGTGTCCAGACTGTGGATTCTAACAGTCAGGCGTTTATTGCCAAGGTTAAAAAAAAACTGGCCATAAACAGGAAAAACTTTTTGAGGTGGCAGGTTCAATGAGGTGTTTGATATGGTTTCTAAACAGTTTATGTCTGGCCACACCCAAATTTGGGGTTGACAATGATGCTGCGTTTTACGAAGGGCCACTTGGAACAAAAAGCTGAGTCACAGCAGCCAGACACAGCAGCAGATACTTTTTCTTTCAAATGTCCCATATTCACTTTTATATTTTTCTCATTTTACTCACATTACATCTGTGACTATTAATTCCAGGGTTAAAAAAAGAGGCGTCCAAAACGAGGCAGAGCAGCTCACTAATGACAGGGCCTCTGAGGTGCTTGTTAAGTCCTTAAGCAGGATGACTGAAATTATGCTGTAAGTCAGCAGTCATGTTAACACATGTAGGAAACAGAATTTCTTCTGTTCACCTTGTTTTTGTAGTTGACTGACATACTAGATCCAGCCTTTATATTGACCTCCTTTTCACCATGGTTACTGCAAAACAGCATAACATCGCTCTCCTTTTATTGATGGGCCTTGAGGAAATGGTCTCTGGTTGTGTATGGGGTCTAAGGTCAAGCTGTGTTGATAGCGCAGTTATGTCAGTAAGTCTGATGCAGTCGGAGGCTGTAATATTTTGAATAGATAAATAAATCTCAATATTGAACCCTATTAACAAAAAAGCTCTCTTGCTTTGTCAGGTTTATGCTAATTCACTTCTGCTCTTAGTGTATTTGTCAATTATGTCTGATCTGTTCTCTTTTCTGTCAGGTTAACTTGTACAAGGTTAAAAGGTAAATAGTGTCTTTGATCATATTTCTGACTGCACTTAGACTCTGTATGTGTGTTTTTGAATAAAGTAAGCAATTGGGGAAGTGCTTATTTATATGTTCTTATCGATACAGTTTTTATCTAACGATTTTTTTAAAACTGCTTAACTCTACGTTTCTTATGCATTTTATTATCGCTTTAGTATGTCCAGGGTGTGCTTCTTTTTACTTCATTTTTTTTGTTACTGTCACTGCATGTCATGCTGCTGCTACATTGTAATTTCCCAGCGTGGCATCAGTAAACACTGTCTGTCTAATCATCATCATGTATTATTAGTATAAATAGAAATTGTGGACATTTGTATTTGTTTTATTTGTTTTAGCAAGCAGTTGAACAGGTTTATTAAGGAGTTGCTGATTTAGTTTATAAATATATTGTGTATAGTCTATAAAGAGATTGTAATTTCCACATTTTACCAATAGCCTTGCTGATATGACTGGTAACAGGAATGAGGCAGAATCTGTGGTTGGCATGTTGGCAACCCTTCTCACTGCTTTTCTCTATATGGCATTCTAGCCTTGTTCAGTATATTAACTGCTGCAATAGATATAGATGTGGTAACATTCTCTTACAAGCTGCAATGCTATGATACTTCTGCCAACTCAAGATCAAATCTGATGAAACATTGACACACATACATGATTGACCGTCAACAACATTGTCTGGTTGTGTTGTCCCTATATTAAGGAATGTGAAGTAAAATTTCTTTCTTTCTTTGAATTTGTTTTTATAGACTGGTCTAAGTTGGACAAACACAAGAATTCAGCATAATGATGTTGTCGTGTACATACAGTCTTGCATCAACAAACACTGAGCTTTCCAACCTCCATTACACCTTGTAGATTTGTTTTAGTTGATTTATGCTGCACGTACACAAACAGCTTCATAGAACCTGCTAGACCTGCATTGGTGTGTGTATGAATGAGGATTTAAAGAAACCATCTTGGAGAAGTTACTGACAAACTAAGTTTTATGGCAGCTAGCAGTGTTGACCCAACTCTAATTTCAAACAACAAATGTCCTCACCAGTATAAAAACATGATTATTCCTATTATTTTGTTTTACTATGGGAATGGACACGCTCTTTCCTAAGGGCAAATCAACAGGGATTTATCTGTGCATGAGAGAGCGAGAGGAAAATCACACAGTAGATGTGGGCGGGTACATGTGTGTACATGTACACTTAATAAAAAGAATAAATGTTCCTTGTCCTGACATGTTGCTCCAAGCTGATCAACCTTCCGTGTCCGTGGACTGGGTTCATTTGGCCTCTTAACACTTTGGAGTCACTTTCAAACATCTCCCACGTTTTTAATGTGCAGCTCTACTGGGGCCTACTGAACCATGTGTAACCAGTATAAAATTAGGATTCATATTAAACACCCTGTAACTTGACACAATGCTTTACTGACTGTTTGGTTTGGTACACTTAAGCAGCTCCAAGCAATGGTTTTTGTGTTACTCAGGAGACGGCTGGTCGAATCACACTCTAGAAAATTAAATAGAAAGGCGCCACAGCTCGGCGGGTTACAGAGTGACATGCAGTGTGTAGGTGTGAGCCCAACCCAAACCACAGCAGAAAACTAGAAAAAACTAGAACTAGAAAAATGTTATTTTAATTAGATACCTTTGTCAGTTGGTAGTGCTAAAATCTGTGTTAGTTTAATTATTTTCTATTTATTTTTATTTATAAAATATGTAAAGAGTGAATTATTAAAATAAATGTGAACCATCAGGCACGTAAAATTAAATTAAAGCATTTAAAATGAACAGGAATTATAATATTTTTAATTAAATGCAAACAAAAAATGAAATTAGAACGTATAAATATTAAAGATAAGCATTATTAATTATTTCCTGATTTAGCCAAAGTCAACAGAGATGGTCGATGTTCATATAGGATCAGTGCATCCCTAGTATGTTGTTCTCGGTACTCATTGTGACCTTTTTTCAGGGCTGATCATATAACGGTCTTATTGTGATGCATTGGAATCTGATTTTAGAAATGGAATTATCCGTGTTTGTTAAAAGGACTAAAAGAAAGTTTGCAGTGCGGTAGATGAAGAAAGTCACACCTCACTCTGTGTTCTGACAAGACACTGGGTGTTGCAGCCTCACAACAAGCATCCAGAACAAGACACTCACTTTTGTTAAGTCAGCTGCACATGAAATGAAACGTGTCTGTTCTGTCCTAACAAAGACAAATCGCTGATTAGAACCATAATTAAAGTTTATCAGCACCCTCCATCCTTCCCTTGTTCACCAGAAATCACTGTAATCTAGGATCTTTGCCTGAACTGTACTTTAACATGAATGTGTCAAATAGATTTAATTGACAGTAATACTGGCTATTCATGCCCAGAGGAAACTTTTCAGTCAGAGCAGTAGCTGAACAGGTGGCATTTGGTAGAGATCAGGCTACATTGTGAAGAATGAGTGTTGACTGAGCCTGTGTTAACTGCTGAACTCTCTCTCACACACACACATATACATATACGTACACACACATTCCTGCAGATTACCATTTTATCTCAGACACACACAGTTACAAAAGCCAACCAGCAGGCAAACATGAAAGACAGTGGGATGCTCACAGTCTGGTGGCACAGTCGGCTCGTTGTGTTCATTGTGTAACAAAGCTCTTCTGCTGTGGTGCTCTCCGGTGTCTTCTTACTCTACCTGTATTTTCTCATGCCTGAGCTGCTGCAGCCAATCTTTGCTGGACGTTTGCATCTGTAGTCATTGGGCGCTCACTTTTTTTTTTAAAATGTCCTACACCTTGTTCTTACATTTTTAAATTGAAATGACACAGTGGTCAGAAAAAAG